ATTTTATGGGCCATTTGATATTTATTTTTATTTCCCTTCGTTATTYGTTGAGTGCACTTAGCCCCCATTCCCCGAGCTGCCTGCCTTCTATCTGAGGTGAGTTTTATGGTGCAGCGATCCCAGCGACTCGAACAACTGTAATATATTTATCCCATGCACGCAGCCCATCCAGGCAGGCCTGGAATTCCTACCGTGGAGAGCGGTGGTCTGCCTGGAAAATCACAGCTCTAACTGGACTGGGTTAAAAAAGAAGAAAAAAAAAAAGAGAATAAACTCCAAACTATTTACATTCCTCTTCTTTCTGATCTCGATTTCAAGCCTTCGGGATGTATTTGAGTCATATTTTCACCTTTTTTTTTTTTTTTTTTTTTTTTTTTTTTTCCCCTTGCAAAACACGAGGTCTCTCTGTGTACCTTGTGCTGCAAGCCAAGCTCTTGTGTATCCCACGGCTCCCACAGCTGGGCTTTAAAATCCACGGCCAACGCTGCGAGAGTAATGACAAAATCATGAGCTGGCAGCGCTGCCTTTCCCCCCGACCTCCCCACTTCATCCTGCTCAGGAGCAGCAATTCCTCACTGCACCGCCATCCAGGAGGGTTTTTTCCCCGATTTTTGTGAGATTTTTCCCAGCACAACAAAGCCTCTCTGCTCCTTTGTTTTCCCTTGTTGAGGAGGAGGCTGCCATGAGCTCCCTCATCCTTCCCTGGCCRTGTCCCATCCCCATCTCCCGCCTGCCCCGAGGGCGTGCTGGGTTTTTTCTCAGTGCCAGCGCTTCTCCCTGGTTTTATTCCCTCTGCGTTTCTGCTCYGCTGCTCCCCGCTAATCCCTGTGTAATCCTGGCGAGCCCAGAGCCCAGGGAAGGTCAGGAACACAGCCTGGGGGGTGCTGGGGGAGATGGACCAGCCCTTCTCCTCCCTTTTATCCTTTCCCCGTGGAGATGTTTGAGGCTAATGGAGATGGATCATCCTCTCCTTCCCCCTGGACGGGCTGGATTCCCGGTGGGATTCTCCCTCCCCAGACAGCGTCACCCACCCCGTGGAGCAGCGTTAATCGTGGATAAACTCCGAGTGTGAGCTCCGCGCCCTGCGAGCGGGAGGAGAGCAACGAGACGCATGAAATTCGCTGGTTCCACTCGCCCCAGCAGGCGGCCGGAGCCTTTTCCAGCCGACGCCTTTTCCTCCCCGCTCCCTCTCTTCTTCTTTCACGGGGGAAGCAAAATTCGTGGTGTGTGGCCCCAAAAGCAGAGTAAAGGCAGGCTGGGGTGGGATCACCTCCTCCAGCCCACGCTGGGGGTGAGGGCACGGGGGGACCCTGAGCCTGGAGTGGGTCACAGCCTTGGGGCGAGCATTGGTGTGGGCACACTCAGATCTGTATGTCCATCCTCACATCCGTGTGTCCATCCATGTCCATGTGTCCATCCTCAGATCCGCATGTCCATCCTCAGATCCGTGTGTTCATCCTCACATCCGTGTGTCCACACTCACATCTGTGTGTCTATCTTCACATCCATGTGTCCATCCTCATATCTGTGTGTCCATCCATGTCCGTGTGTCCATCCTCACATCCATGTGTCCATCCTCACATCTGTGTCCATCCTCACATCCGTGTGTCCATCCTCACATCTGTGTGTCCACACTCACATCTGTGTGTCCATCCTCATATCTGTGTGTCCATCCATGTCCGTGTGTCCATCCTCACATCAGTGTATCCATCCTCACATCCGTGTGTTCACACTCACATCCGTGTGTCCATCCATGTCCGTGTGTCCATCCTCATATCTGTGTGTCTATCTTCAGATCCGTGTGTCCATCCATGTCCATGTGCCCATCCTCATATCCATATGTCCATCCTCACCTCTGTATCCATCCATGTCCATGTGTCCATCCTCACCTTTGTGAGTCCATCCATGTCCATGTGTCCATCCATGTCCATATGTCCATCCTCACCTCTGTGTCCATCTATGTCCATGTGTCCATCCATGTCCATGTGCCCATCCTCATGTCCACATGTCCATCCTCACCTCTATGTCCATCCATGTCCACATGTCCATCCTCACCTCCACGTGTCCGCATGTCCAGCCACAGCTCCCCAGCTGACCCCAGATGGGTCTGTGCCAAGCAGGAGCCTCCAAAAGTGGCACAAACCCAGCAAGTTTCGGTTCCCATCCCCAGCACAGACCCCGTGGCATCTCCCCCTGGGCTSTGGCCGGCTCCCCGTGCCCGCGGTGCCCGCTGAGAGCTGTGGGGTCTCTCTGGCTGTGTTTGGGGTCAGCAGGCCCCCGGCAGCGCTCGGTGGCCACGCTGGGCTGCTGCTGTGCCCTCCAGAAGATCTCAGCTGCCGGGAGCTGGCCTGGCTCCACCGGGCTCGCACGCTGCAGCGCAGGAGCCGGGCCAGGCGCGGATTTCCGTCCCCTCCTGCCACCTGCTCCGTTTGCCCCCGTTCCTCACCCCGTTCCCCTGTGCTCCCGTGGCCCTGGGCCGTCCCTCCGGGATGTCTCCGCTCGGGAAGAGCGCTGGGATCCTTGGGATGRTGCAGAATGTTCCAGCAGCTCCCACTGCCTCTCCCGTGATCACAAAGCTGTGATCCTGAGCTCCTGAGCAACGCAGAGCTGCGAGTTTTAACCCCAGAGGAGATAAATGCCCACCCAGGGATGGAGTGAGGATGGGGAGGGGGACGAAGAGCTGGACAGGGGCTGAAAGCACCGTCCTGACCCCGCAGGTGGAGCTGAGCCCTTTCCCTCACAAACTCTCCTTTGGATCGAGCTTGGAGCCACCACAGAGCTCACCCGGCCTTCAAGGATGGAAACCTCCCGGTGCTGCCGGAATCGCGCAGGGCAGGACCGCGCCAGGAACGGGAAAACCCAGCCATGGGTGTCCTGTGCCCGTCCTGCTCCCTCCGACCCACCCGAGGAGCCGGAGCCGCGGGCGGCTCAACARCAACAGAACCAAAGGAAAAACAATCTCCTGGTGCTAATGGGATTGGTTCTGTCCCTACCACGCACATTCCAGCCCGGCTCGAGGGACGGCTCCGGGCCCGGCGGGGGAAGGGGAGGCTGACGGAGCCAAATCATTCCCCGTCTTCAAATGTCAGAGCAGAGCGCGGTGCCGCCGGCCGGGCCCGGAGCAGCTGCTGAGCACCAACAGTGCCGCCCGTGCGGCAGCGGAGCGGCCTCGGAGCGCAGCCAGGGACAGGCGCTCTCCATCGCTGGAAGGCCGGGAGGAGAGGGGATTCGCTCCCCTCGGCCGCGAGTTCTTGTGCCGGGCTCTGCTTTGGCCGGGCGGGTGGGGACCGGGGACAGGGTGGCACCTGCTCCGCTCCGGAGCCATCCCTGGGCTCAGGGGATGAGGGGACAGGAGGGGACCCGCTGGACAGGAGGGGACCCGCTGGGCACAGAGGGAACACGTGTTGGACACGGTTGGGACCCTCTGGACAGGAGGGGACACGTGTTGGACACGGTTGGGACCCGCTGGACAGGAGGGGACACGTGTTGGACACGGTTGGGACCCGCTGGACACGGTTGGGCCCCGTGCGGGAACCAAACCCGCTCCCATCCCGCCCCACCGAGCCGCCGACTCGCCCAGCTCCGGTACAAACCTTTTATTGGATTCCCGCTCGCAGCTCGGGGCTGGGTTTGCCCTTCGGGGAGGGCTCCGCGTTCCCCCGGAGCTCCCGGCCAGGGACCGGGGCAGCGCCCGAGCATCGCGGGCTCCACCGAGCTTCACACGCGGCCAAAAAAGCGACGACGAAAAGCGGACCCCGAAACGGACACGAGACCCCCCCACATCCCCCCAACCCGCTTCCCCAAACCCAGATGTGTGGGATGGGTGGAAGTGATGGGAGCAGCACAAAACCGGCGGGGATGGGGACCCCCCGCCCCACCAGGGCCCCCCGGCACACGGAGAGAGCCCCAAACCCCGASACGGGAGGGGACCGCGGGCAATAAGTTAATCTGTACAGACGCGATAGGTGACACGGGGGTGGCGGGGCCGTGTCCCCAGCACGGGATTGTCCCCGTGGGGCGCCGGGGGCCGGGGAGCCGCATGCCGGTGCAAATCAAACCACGAAACGATGCATGAAATCGAGTGGTGGAGAATGGGASAGGGGAGATGGGGAGGGAGGGGACCCCTCCATGCCCAGGGGCTGTGCCAGGGTGAGCCAGGGGGGTCCCTGCTCGGTCCCATTGTCACCGCCGGGACACAGAGCCATCARCTACAGCCCCACGGGCCGCCCCCGCCGTCGGGCAGGGATGCCGAGCCCAGGATGGAGCCGTCCCAGCAGCTCCCACCTCCTGTCCGAGCTTGGAGTCGGGGAAACGCCGCCCCATCCCCTGCTTGGTCCCGGCAGCAACTCGCTGGCAGCGGGACCAGCTCCCCGAGGCCATCAGGGATCGGGGAGGGGAAGGAGCCATGGCAGGGCCCCCGCACAGCTCCGGGAAGGGGCCGGCTGGGYGCTCGCGTGGGCACGGAGGCGGCGGGATCCGCTCCCGGCTCCGGCTGCCAAGGCCAAATCCATTCGCCACGTTTGGGCTCCCCGAGGCGATCGGCTCCGGCCGGCGGAAGGGAGTTCCCAGGGCCGGGGCCGGCGCCTCGGAGGCTCAGCCCAAGGTGGGAGGCCGGGGATGTGCCGAGCCAAAGCTCCGAAGGCTGCAGATTCCCTCTCTCCATCCCCCACCGCAGCCGGCTCCCTCCTGCCCAGCGCTGGAGCCGTGCCCGGAGGGCTGCGGGGCCCCGGCGRCTCCGGGCGGGAGGAGACAGCGAGTCCCGCTCCGGGACGGGCTCTCTCCGGCCTGGCAGCTCCGCTCGGGGCTCYGGGAGCCGCGATCGCAGCTCAGGGCGCATCCCTGCAGGAGGCAGAGCCGCTCTCGGCTTCCGGAGCGAGCGGGACCCGGAGATGGGACCGGGAGATGGCCCCGGGGCGGCCGGAGGGGCAGCGGGGCTGGGGCTGGGGCGGGGGCGATGCCAGGGGATGGTGCCAGGGASGAGGAGCTGGTGGGGAGGGCTAGGAGCGCTACAGGATGGTCTTGTCCAGGTCGACCTTGAGCGGCAGCGGCCCCGCGTCCTCCCCGCCGTGCGCGGGGCACAGGGTGACGGCGATGACCGGCGGCAGCGGGAACGCGCCGGGGCCCTCCAGGTCCTCCAGGTACTCCTTGTCCCCGTTGATGCTCAGCGGCTGGAACAGAGGCAGACAGAGCCGTGCAGCGCCCGAACGGGGGGCAGGACCCTCCTATGGCTATGCCTACACCCCGCGGGGTGACAGGGACCCCAAACGGGGCACTGCCCTGTCCCTCCCGGCCGTGACGGGTGTCCCTGGCACTCCGGGGGCCGTGCCCAGCCCGTACCTGGGTCTTGACGTGCTGCTCGGGCGCGGTCACCAGGCTGGCACAGCTGAGCCACAGCATCACCATGATGGAGAGGAAGAGGCAGGCGGCCAGGATCCAGCGAGGAAGGCCCGAGCGCCTGTAGCACCCCACCACCCCCCGCCAAAGAGAAGGGACGGGTTTATGGCGGGGCACGGGCGGCATTTGGGGTCGGGGGGATCCGCGGGGCCGCGCCCAGCCGGTCCCTGAGCACCTACTTGGACATGCAGCCCAGGAAATCGTGCTCCTGCTGCGGGGGCTCCGCGGGGCGCGCCTTGCCTTTGCCCCGCGCCTCCTTCACGGGGGGTTTGTCCCCGTTCACCCGGGAGCCTGCGAGGGGAGAGGCCACGCTGAACCGGGACCCACTTTGGGACACCCTCCGGGCTCCCCATCCCCCTGCCAGCCCGGGATTGGGGTCCCCTATCCCCCCGGGATCCCCGCAGCTTCCCACACAGAGCCCCCCGGCGTGGGTGGGGTGTGGGAAGCTGACCAGAGCCGAGAAACGGGAAATTTGTTCAGCTCTGGAGAAGTCGGACGGGAGCCAGGAGGGCTCGGAGGCTCCCAGCCCCTCCCCGCAGCCCGGACCCCCCGCACCTGTGTGGGGCTGGGGGAGGCGAGGGCTGGACCCCGATCCCGATCCCGATCCCGGCTGTGCTGGTTGCATCTCCAGAGCCTCGGGTGCTGGGTATTCCATCTCAGGCTGGGACTGGAYGGGCAGGAAAAGGGGAGAGGGCAGTGAGGAAGGGTCCCCACCCCCTCGGCACCCCCGAGAGGGTCCTTGGGACAGCCCCACCTGAAACACCACGACCTTGCCATCGTCCGCCTGCAGGTAGAAGGTCCAGGTGGAGGAGATGAAGCTCTGGGCAGAGCTGACGATGTCGTTGCAGAAGGTGGACACCAAATCCAACACGGAAAAGGACGGCAGCTTCAGTTCCAGGCTCTGCAGAGGAGCGGGGACATCGCGTCACCGCTGTCCCCTCGGGGGGACGCGTCCCACCCCGGGGTCCTGGCTGGGTGCTCGGGGCTGGAGTCCATCCTGCTTGTCCCATGGATGGGGTCAAACCCCAGGAGGGTCCCCAGGAGGATCCCATGGATGGGGTCAAACCCCAGGAGGGTCCCCAGGAGGATCCCATGGATGGGGCCAAACCCCAGGAGGGTCCCCAGAAGGGTCCCATGGATGGGGTCAAACCCCAGAAGGGTCCCCAGGAGGATCCCATGGATGGGGTCAAACCCCAGGAGGGTCCCCAGGAGGGTCCCCAGGCCAGGACTGCGATCCCTGGGGTGCCCACCCGGCTCTGGAGCCATCCCCCGACCCCAGGACCGTCCCCTCGGGCGGGGATCGCCCTCCTCTGCCGGGGACAATGGGAGCGGAGCAGCCGCGATGCCGAGGGCGTTGCTCTCCTGGCAGCCTCTCGGTGCCCTGGATTCTTGGCCGTCGCGGCAGTTTGTTATTTTTAAAGCATCCCTGCTGGAATCCGCTTGGCTGCTCCCTGCCACTGGCTCCGAACATTTTCCGACAGCCCCTTGCACGGTCAAACCAGCAAACAGGAAATAAATAGGTCAGATTCTGTATCTAATTATTATGCTAAATCTGCTTGGCCTGCTCGYCTGGGAACCCGGGCAAAAACGTGCTGGGTGGGTGAAGGGGGCGAGGGCCCTCCCTGTCACCCCCGGTCAGCCCCGGATGCTCATCCCCGGCCTTGGAAATGGGATTGGACACCGGGAATGTCTCAAAACCAGGCTGCAAAGGGGTTTGCAAAAGAGCTTTTCACTCTTTTTATTCTTTTTCATCTTTGCCCGCATGTGCACCAAGCCAAAAGCCTCTTCCTTGGGCCAAAGTCTAATTTAATTAATTGGGCARAAGCTGGATTAATTAAATGTAGGAGGGGAAAGCGTTGCTAATTGCTGGGAAGGATAACAAATCAAACCGGGGGGGAATCTGCCACGATCCCCAGCCAGATCCTCTCACCTC